TAGTCTGCGGGTCTTCGGGAAAAATTAAAATAAAATTTGCTGTACCAATTGTAGATTTCATTTCTACTATGAGCATTTTAACGAGTTGAAAATGCTACAATCTTCGATTGTTTCAACTTGTCTACCGTTTTAAATCGCTCGCACTCGTAAATTCATAAGAAAAACCGCAGTCTACCGACGACGTTTCGACCCAATCGCCAGACCGAATATGTACTCTAAAGATTCGCAAACTAATCGTCGATCACGATTACGCGGCGTACGAAAACAATTGAGGCGCTTCTCAACTGTTTTCCATACATTAGCATGTTGTAACAAGTTCCCGGCGTGGACCGCAAAGGGCTCACTACTATGATGTACTATATACACGCGCGCACACCTTGCCCGAACACTTTGAACAGCGAACGCAAACCTAGGATTATAGAGCCTCCATTGTGCCTGTTTACTGCACCTAACGGATTCATAATAACGCACGGCCCCGTTAGATTCAGCACACCAAGCATGTTGTACAGCCCGCAGAAAAGTGAAGTTCGATGATCTAGGGAACCCCATGGCGCACCGCTGCAAATTAAAAAGAATCTTCGACAGTGTTCGTTGTCAGCCTGTACAAAATAAATAAGAATGCTGGACACAGTTGTTACGTTTTATTCCTCGTTTATAGCGCAGATTATCCGTTCTCGCACGCGGAACGATAATCCCAATCCCGTTTCTAGCAGCACGAGAACGATACAGGCTCGCCGAATAGCAATGAGATACGAGATCGACGTTGAGAAATTCCGAGGAGCGCGAACGCATCGGTCTGTCGCGGCTCTCGATCAGGATCGTTCCGCGCACCTCGCCGTATGGGAGCGAGCGGAAAGGTTAACCCGTCTGCTCGCGTTTTCCCGTCTCTGTCGGCTTTGTTTGCGGTCGGACGGGGACAGACGTACGGCGATATTCTGGCGGGAGACCCGTAAAAATAGTGTCTTTGCCGTTTCCTCCCTTCGACTCGGCGACTATAATTAGCGGGATTCGCGTTTTCTGCGTAAACAAATATTCGCCGGGGTCTGTCGCGGGTGCCGGCGGGTGCCTCCGCGCGGCCAGCCACTTTACCGTTGTTCGTGATTTCCTGTTCGATAGAGCACACGCTGAATAAACACCGCAAAACACGACCTATCCGGCAGTCACGGGCGTCGCGACCGTAGCCGACGTCTATCGATGCTACACGGCTTTTGCATTAGGAGACCGTGGACAGTAGAAACAGACCGGTCTGTCTGTTCGCGTCCGTCTTCCCTTTTCCCCTTGTTCGTCAGCCGGGTACTCTAGTAGAATATGTCTATAGCCGCAGGAGAGACGGAGAGAGAGAACGAGGGAGTCGGAGAGAGAGAGAGAAAGAGAGAGAGAGAGAGAGAGAGAGAGAGAGAGAGAGCGGACGACTGCGGCGGGCAGAGAACTATTCATACCCGACCAGAGAACGTTCATAAAAATAGGATTTTCGCGATTCCCACCGCCGCGACGTCGCGCTTAATGGTGGTTCGCGTGCCTCGCGAATAAATCTCGGCAAAGTTTACCGTGTACTCCACCGGGTTGACGAACGATTTGTGGAAATATTCACCTTCCGATCGGTTCCTGAATTCTTCACTGCCCACTCGAACGTACCGTGGCTACTTTTAGAGCCGCTTCTAACTGCCTATCGCGAACTTTTTATGTTGACCGATCTGGACATCGAGCGAGCCTCTCCGAAAGTTCACGTTCGTGGTCAGAAGTGATTCTTTCTTAAGAGGCATGCCGTAGAGTCTACGAATCTCCCGTAATGAACATTGGTGTTACAGAGACGTTGGCGTGTTTAATTTTAATTCGTTTCGCATAAACGGGGAGATGCGCTTTTAATTTTTCTACAAAAATTCAACAGAGTAATAATAATAATAGCAATAGTAATAACAGTAATAATAATATAATAATAATAATAGTAATAATAATAGAATAATAATAATAATAGTAATAGTAATAATAATAGAATAATAATAATAGTAATAATAATAGAATAATAATAATAATAGAATAATAATAATAGTAATGATAATAGAATAATAATAATAGTAATAATAATAGCATAATGATAAAAATGAAAATGTAAACAATATGATTACCATATACAAAATAAATACTAACATTTTAGCTTCCGACAACATCATATATTTGATTTTTATATATATATATTAAATATAAATGTTAGCCAAATTGAGAAGTCTACTTAAACCTACTCACATAGTAGTGAGGCGTAAAAAACACATTGGGTTGTCGTAAAAGATCACGAAACATTCGGGGTAGTTTACTCTGCTATGTAATTCGACACTAAATAAAACCAAAGTAATACAAAGTAGCTCAGTTCAATCATTTCAGCGAGCGAAGTATCCAGAAGTGACACAATGTGGCGATGAAAGGGACTGCGAATGTTTAAAATTGCTAGATACCACCGCAACGAATCTTTCATTAAAGAACGGACATATTTTTGGAATTCTAACGTCCACAAATGGAAGCACGAAAATTCAAATTTGCATAAAAATCCGCGGACTATCCGCGCAGCAAACGTTTGAATCGTCTCGCGCGTTCACAAAAATCACGTTCCATGTTCCGGAATAAGGATGATATTGCGCGGATCGATGATTCGCACGGTCTTTATCGTAGTCGGAGTGACGGCGAATGCTCGGTACCCGGCTGGACACGATTTCGGGCTGCCCGATGTCCTGGTATCGTCTCGATCGAGCCGCTATCGTCCGCGCGACGCCAGTCGTTATCGTTGTTTTTCATTTAATCAGCCGGATCGGTGAATATCGATCACCGTTTATCTCGAGTATTACCGTCTGTGCAGTCGGAATAATTATTCCTCGCACGGCGTGCGTTCCCGTCGAGGGTTATATCCCGGATAAAAGGGTTACAGGGAACGGGAACCGGAGGTCGCCGATCCTCGACATAAATAATAAATCCACGCAATGCCGGGCCGAGTCGCCGAGGACCACTCGAAATCTCGAGTGAGCGTTCCGCGGGGCAACATTTTCAGTTTTTTACGTCCGTACGTGAACCGGCCGCGTCACAGGGGCGAGCCTACCCCTCTGTGTCGGACATTAGTTCATTATGTCGTATTGTCATGCACGCACGAGGAACGCGGGGACAATGCGATCTAGGGAGAGAGAGAGAGAGAGAGAGAGAGAGAGAGAGAGAGAGAGAGAGAGAGAGAGAGAGAGAAAGAGAAATAGAGAGAGCGAGAGAGAGAGAGAGAAATAGAGAGATCGAGAGATCGAGAGAGCGAGAGGGAGAGAGAGAGAGAGAAATAGAGAGATCGAGAGCCGAAGAGTGTGTATGCGTGTGAGAAAGAGAGAGAGAGGAGAGAGAGAGAGAGAGAGAAGGGAGGAGCGCTGAACGAAACGAATCACTCGAAATCCGTTCGCCAACTATTTCCTGGGGGCTTATATTTTAGGAAGTTGTAGGAAGCATGAGACCATGGACCAGAATAAGACAGCGCATGACTCGCAACACTGTCCCTCTTATTTGCCAGCCTCTACCCTGTTTGTGAGCCTCGCGCTATTCCGTGCACTCGAAAACCCAGTTTTCTGTTCCCAGGCCTGGAGAATGATTTTAGTTTTTGTGTATGCACGCGCACTGTTTGTAGTTGTTGCTCCGGTACGGGATTACACTGTAATTGCGGAGAGGTTTCCGAGATAAGTGCTCGTAAGCCAAACGGACGAAATGTGTAAATCTCGTCGGAAGCTTTAGTCTTAGTTTCGTCAACATCTAGCCGCGTTTAAATTGCTAACTAAGAGGTTCCTAACGAACGTTGTTGTCTCGGAGTAAAGCTTCAACTTTCAGTGGAATACTTTTGGACATGTGACAGTTCATTAAAAATAATTTATCGAAAAGAGTCCTGTAGACCGATTGGGCCCATCGCGATTCCTGTTAAACGGTATCGAGTGTACTTTTTATTCCGATCAAGCAGCTGGAGAAACGTATCTCTCTAATCTGTCTGCAGGCTGATACCGTGTACACTATTAATTCGTATCAAAATTTTTGATACGCGTACTTTCCATGTTTTTGACCAAAAACGATTGTATCCAATAATCTCTGTGTTATAGGTAGAAAGTCGATGCAGTACTAAATATTAACGATATCGGCTAGTAAAAGTATTTTATCAATGAGTCTATTTTCTCAAATGTATTCACACGTTTTTCGTATATGGGTCAATCTAACGTTTAAACATAGAGTATAATATTGAGTGATCTACTTCTAATATTTTCTCTAACTGGTAGTTTTATTGTATTAAGTATCAAGGTGTATCGTGCTTTAAAATGCAAACAAAATTAAAAATATATCTTCAAAAATCATAACAGAAACTCAAACGATCTACATAATTTTACTTGCTTACTCCTATGCTAAATTTGATCCAGTAGCGTCTCCTGTAGAATGAAAAAACAAAAAGAACACCAAATTGCAGCACGACGGTAGATAACATCAATGAATAGCATAGTAACTTCAAAGCTGACGCGTAAATGCAATCGCAAGCGTACGATTTAGTGCAATCCACGATAGACCAAGCACAGCTCTCTCGCAGGATGTATCGCGATTTAACTCGTTGGATCTTCGTTTGTTGCAGGCCGATCTCGTCAGCCGGAAGCCAGGTGATCGTGGGGTGATCTCGTTGGTTGGGCGTCGGGGCGCGCGAGTCGGCCTTGTAGGATGCGAGGGCGGGTGCTGGTGGCGCGCGTGACCGCGTCGGATCGCGCGTCGATCGGGCTCGCTCTTGATCATCAGCGGCGTTCGCGATGATGCCGGAACGGGGTCACGTAGTAGCATCGGTATCGTCGGTCGAGCACGCGGGGCTCTGTGGAAACGCAGCGGACGCAGCGACGGGATAAATGCGAGACCGAAACCCGGTTGGCGGGCCAGTAGTCGCGACGACGAAGAGGAAGAAGAAAAGGAGACACCTGGAATCGGGTCGGAGCGAGCGCGGACACCCGGGCTGGCGTTGGATGAGAGCAGGTGGTGCGCAGCAGAAGAAGAAGACCGGCGACAGGAGGTTGGATGTAGAACAGGAAGAGGAGGACGAAGAGGAGCTGGAGGAGGGGCGGTCGGGTAGCTGGGACTCGGACAGAGGTTGGGACAGACCATCGGTTAGACGCTCGGATTTGGATCTGGATCTGGATCCGGAGGGCGGGGGACAGGCGGAAGGAACGGCCCGAGTCCCGAGGTACCATCATCGACAGGGTCGGCCCACGACCAGCTGGACTGGACGGCCTCGCGGGTTTTCGTGGTAAGGCCGAGGGTTGTGGGGGCCACCACGGGGGCGGGGGTGGGCTTGCCCCTGCTTCTTCTCGTCGTCGCTGTGCTCGGCAATCGAACGTGCACGACGACGGCCGCGCCGGTGGTGTCCGATACGCAGGTGTCCCTCGACGCTACGCCTCCTCGTCTTCTGCCTCGATTACCGGACCGTTCGCCACCGGAGTCCACCTACCGGAGAACGACTCGCCGGTATTCAAATCTTCAACCAGGCAATCCTTCCGGAGAACATCGTTCGTCAAGCGGAGCGCTGGATCGTCACGCGGTGTCTGCATCGGCGGAACTTGGTCTGGACGGCGGGGCTTGGTCGCGCTCACCCCGTGATCCAGCGCGGATCGACGTCAATAATAACAGCAACGACGACGACGACGACGACAATAACAATAACAACAACAACAACAACAACACCGGGACAAAGGATCCTACTTCTTCGCCTGCGTCGGCGGAAGGAGCAGGGAGAGGAGGAAGAGGAGGAGGAGGTCTGGCTCACGAGAGGACCGAGTCGAAGCGACGGCAGGTGGCGGCTAGCCTGCTCGATCAACGAGGATCGACGACGTCCCTGGATCTGCGACCGCACCGGCTGCAGACCGCGTTCTCCCGCAACCAACGCCTCGAGAAACCTCTCTCGACCCCGGTCGAGTCTGGTCGCGGTAGATCCGTTCGACCCGGAGCCGCGAACGCCGAGAGATCGACGAGCTCGGATCTCGGGGACGCTCCGTCGACGATTACGACGGCACCGGTGATCGCCGGTAGCACCGTGCCCTATCGTCTGGCAGCTCGGACTGTGCCGCGGGTGCTCGGGGACGCCGGCGAGGGTACAGGTGTGTTGTCGGTGAACGAGGACCAAGGGAAGGACGGACGCAACAGGAAGGACGAACGCGGAGGTGTCGCGGGTAAACACGGGGGGAGGTTCGCGGTCGCGGGGAACGGTAGTGGTGAGGTCGTTGGTGGTGGTGGTGGTGTCGTCGAGTGGACCACGACAACAGTCGCCGGGCCGATGTCATCGTGGTCGTATCATTCTGAAGATGAGGAGCCGGGAGCTGGAAGCGTAAGGACACGCCCGAGCCCGGAGGAGGCGGCGAGCGAGGACGAAGAGGCCGACGCCGGAGAGGATCAGGTCAAGGTCACCGTAGCACAGCCGACCAAAGGCTCGACTGCGTCGACGACTGCGCGGCCGACCACGACCACAACGCAGTTGCCACCACCGAGTCAAGACACCTCTATGGAAGCACGTGAGTACCTGAAAAACTCTCTCCGTCCCGATCCAGGCCGACCTTCTCCTATTCTCTCTCGTACCCTGACGGCGGCAGCGAGCGTGTTTTCTTCTCCGTGTGCCAGATACGCGGCCCGCTCCGCCAACTTGCTCCTTTTGCCATGCCTCTCCCCGCGGGAGTGTTTACAGGAACCAAAGCACCGCGCAGGACCCTTGGCCAGGTTATTTTTAACTATTCGTACCATGCTGCCACTTTCGCTTGACTTATTCCCTTTCTGTCATCCATGCGTCCCGGCCAGCCCTCCAGGATACGGTCCTACCGGCTTCTGCGGCCGACCCTCGCACAGGAGGCGCGTGTTACGCCGCTAAAATTACTGCGGCTGATCTATTGGCTAATCTTCGTAACGTTCTCGAGATATTTTTTTTCTGAGCCAGAGGTGTATTCTCTTCCGTTGTTGCTTCATTTTGCCCGAAGAAAAAACCGTAGGTTGTTATTTACATTAGCGATTCTCCACTTATGAATAGACTGCGGATCCTTATGCAACCGACAAATCTCATGCGTTATTTCTTAAAAATCAGAATTATAGAAAAATTCGATCTGTCGACTGAAAGATTACTCGTTGTAACAATAGAATAAAAATGCTGTTAGCCACGAATGCATAAACATCCGCGATTTAATTGTAATGTAATTTGCGACTGTTGGCAAAAACATTTGTTGTTTAGGGATTTTTATTACGGTCAATAGTATTCGGTTGTAGTCTTTAATGATGTAATTGTATCAACTTTATCTGACTCGGTTTTGTGCCACGAGCAGCTATTTTCTCGACAATTTTGTCTCTTATATGATCAAATACATTACGACTACTTAGGACTTATGGCTTGTTCGAATCATTCTGGAAACTTGCGGTTTCGTTGCCATTCGTTGCCGAGAAAATCGTGTTTGCAGAAAGCGCGTTTCTTTTCCGCAAGTGGATACAACGCGATACTCTAAAACTGTTCCAAACCGATCGGTCATTAAGTTCATGAGGCAATTACAAACGTAACGTTTACCGCGTGAAAATGCTCTCGGTTTTCGCGAAGGATCCGAGCTTTTCGGCCTAACCGGAGTAAATTCCGCCGGGACGTAAGTTCCGACTGAATTCAAGCAGAAAATTCCGCTTCCAAATCGCAGGAATGCGTTTTCCTTGGAGTTCCGTTCGCGGAAGGAGGAAAGAATACGCGTATAAAAGCGTGTACGAATCAAGGGGCGGGGGACGAAGGAATGGAGGAGAAGGGAAGCTCGCCGTGAAACGTGTGCATCTCGTGTGTTTTCGATTACGCTTGCACGGCCGTACGCCGGCTGCGTACGATGTACGGCTCGTGACTTCGCGTATGAATCAGCCGGCTATTCTTTTCGCGCACTGGCCGACCGCCGACTCTTCGTCTCCTTTCTCTCTCTCTCCTTCTCACTCTCTCTCTCTTTCTCCCGCTCTCTTTCTCTCTCTCTCTCCTTCTCACTCTCTCTCTCTTTCTCCCGCTCTCTTTCTCTCTCTCTCTCTCTCTCTCTTNATTAGCGATTCTCCACTTATGAATAGACTGCGGATCCTTATGCAACCGACAAATCTCATGCGTTATTTCTTAAAAATCAGAATTATAGAAAAATTCGATCTGTCGACTGAAAGATTACTCGTTGTAACAATAGAATAAAAATGCTGTTAGCCACGAATGCATAAACATCCGCGATTTAATTGTAATGTAATTTGCGACTGTTGGCAAAAACATTTGTTGTTTAGGGATTTTTATTACGGTCAATAGTATTCGGTTGTAGTCTTTAATGATGTAATTGTATCAACTTTATCTGACTCGGTTTTGTGCCACGAGCAGCTATTTTCTCGACAATTTTGTCTCTTATATGATCAAATACATTACGACTACTTAGGACTTATGGCTTGTTCGAATCATTCTGGAAACTTGCGGTTTCGTTGCCATTCGTTGCCGAGAAAATCGTGTTTGCAGAAAGCGCGTTTCTTTTCCGCAAGTGGATACAACGCGATACTCTAAAACTGTTCCAAACCGATCGGTCATTAAGTTCATGAGGCAATTACAAACGTAACGTTTACCGCGTGAAAATGCTCTCGGTTTTCGCGAAGGATCCGAGCTTTTCGGCCTAACCGGAGTAAATTCCGCCGGGACGTAAGTTCCGACTGAATTCAAGCAGAAAATTCCGCTTCCAAATCGCAGGAATGCGTTTTCCTTGGAGTTCCGTTCGCGGAAGGAGGAAAGAATACGCGTATAAAAGCGTGTACGAATCAAGGGGCGGGGGACGAAGGAATGGAGGAGAAGGGAAGCTCGCCGTGAAACGTGTGCATCTCGTGTGTTTTCGATTACGCTTGCACGGCCGTACGCCGGCTGCGTACGATGTACGGCTCGTGACTTCGCGTATGAATCAGCCGGCTATTCTTTTCGCGCACTGGCCGACCGCCGACTCTTCGTCTCCTTTCTCTCTCTCTCCTTCTCACTCTCTCTCTCTTTCTCCCGCTCTCTTTCTCTCTCTCTCTCCTTCTCACTCTCTCTCTCTTTCTCCCGCTCTCTTTCTCTCTCTCTCTCTCTCTCTCTTTTACTCTCCTCGTTCCTGCGCGGCGCGCCGGTTTCATCGCGCGCTCCGTCGCACTCGATGTTCCGCTTTTGCTCCGTCCACGTCCCGCGCGCGCGAATCAAGCGAGCGAAGACGGTCGAATACACGCGAGCGATTTCGCGACCGTCCCTCGGCCAAAATCCTCCGATCCGCGCCCTTTCCCTTCGCGATTCTCTCGGTTTCTTGCGCTCTCGCTCGCCTCCCTTCAACTTTGATGCGCCTCTGATCCGCTTTTGCTTTTACGCTTCGGTCCCGAGCTCCGTTCCGGCGCACATCGAATTTTGGAAGCGGAAACGCTGCGCGAATATCCTCCTCCTCCGTACTACCAAGGGATTTTCGAGATCTTTGAGCTCGCTACCGAAGACGCGGCGCGCCCGATAAGGTCTCGAATTGCTGCAACGTAAAATGCAGATTTATATGGAAATCAGATTTTAGCGCTCGGCGTTGGAAACGCGGTCCATCCAGGGAGGGCATTTAGCTGAAAACGAAATACATAGTAATTTTTCTGATCAAATTCTACGTGTTTCTGTAGCATTTTTTACGCTGTATCGAATTATACGCAGAAATTCATTGTGTGCAACTTGCGTTTACTTATTAAAAAGAATTATTCTTTAGCGAAAAATCGGATCGAAAAGTTCGTACACAATTATCTTCGATATCATGTACGCAAAGCACAGTAAAAATTCCAGCTCGAAAGTTTCATTTTCGTTGAAGTTACTTTAATTTTAACGTTAATTGCTCGCGCTAGAACCGAAGAAACGACAATGTCTTATTTTCAATCTATTAAAGCGATTACAGAGCGAATGATTTTACGTTTCTATTTCTTGCAACAAATGCAAACAAGCTTCATTTTGCATAAAAATCCGCGGTCTAATCGACGTAAAGAATAACAAAGACTGAAACGCTAAACGGGTTCCCACTGAAATGTAGATTGCAGTCCAGAAAAATATATCGTTCCAGCAAATCGTCGCCGTCGAGACGAGTCGGCGCTAATGAAATTGCAAATGTTCCATTAATTGCAATACAGACGAGAACGATCGTTTTTTGGCCGCGATTCTTTGAGTTACGTTTCCATTGTCTTCGCGGCCGGCGCGCGGCTTGTTAAACACTAGTCTTTATGGGAAACTTAAATGGAGTCTTGCGAGGCTGGAACACCGGGTTCAGCTTGAAATTGCGCGTTAGGTAATTCATTGGGTTTCATTACCGCGGCAAACACCGCCGCCATAACAATACAATGTATGGTTTAATAACGAGCGTAAACGTTGACCTATCCTCGATAACGTTCATTCATAACTTTCGGCCAGTAAAATCTGCCTTTTAATACGATTGCACGCGGACCGCGGCAGTATCGTTTTCGACGTTGTCGGCGATCTATTGGGCTGCCCCGAACATTCGTTTTAAAATATATGTTTGCGAGAAACGTTCGCGAGAAATATGTATATAAATTTTCAGACTTTGTCATTGTTACGGAACAATGTGATCATTTCTTTAGAAGTTCCAGCACCACGTTATTAATCCAAATCTGTAAAATTGCGGATGAAATTGTTGTCGCTCTAGAATAATTCTTTGAGAAATTCTTTATAAACGTCATTAAAAACTGCCGGCACGTTCGCTCGACGAATCGTTCCACTGACAGTTCATATTTTTTTATTGACATACTTTTTTCTTGGCACATTGCTGCAGACAACTGTTCTTTTACAGAATAAAAGTACATACCATAGATGAACGTTACGTAATAAATCACAAATTGGCCAGAGCCGTTGCTCCATTTTGCCTTCGATCGTCGCGTATGACTATAACATTTCGGTGAAATTAATTACCGAGCCGGTTTCTATAACTTCGCAACGTCTTTGCAAACAAACGCGAGGCAGGTCGAAAGACAACTTCTTTTCTCTTTATTGTACCAATGTCCTTCGCTGTTTAAAAACCAAGAATCAAGGTATTGATAAATTAATATCTTAGTTCCAAGAGAAATCAAAAAATGACCACTGCTAATCGTAGCGAATCGGCGCGCAAAGATGGTCGCGGATAAAGTATTAATATGCCGGCAATCCGACGTGTTCCGGGGTGGGCGGATATTTTTGTGACGGGAATCGACGGGAGCGGTAATCCAAGCGGCCGAAGCCGCCGGAATTAGTGTTGATTAACGAAACGCAGTTCCATCGGGCCGATCACGGTTATGTGGAACCGGTCGGCGCATCGCATCTCATCGCATCGCATCGCATCGCATCGCTGCGGGTGAAAACGCGTTTGTATCTTGACGAGCCGAACGGGGCGAGAATAGCGGCGAACGTTTAAAATAAAGTTGCGGCGTCGGTAAATTTATCGTTCCCGAACGCGAAAATCTGTTTACCGTCCCTTGGGATCCGCTTGTTGCGGATGAAAACCACTAAAATACCGGCTGG